TCTTCAAGGTGGCTGGCGTTGGGAGGACCTCCAGGGTGGCTGGCATGGGAGGCCTCTGCTTCAGGGTGGCTGGCGTGTGGGAGACTTCTGCTTCAGGGTGGCTGGCGTGTGGGAGGGACCTCTGCTTCAGGCAGCTTGCGTGTGGGAGGACCTCTGCTTCAAGTGGCTGGCGTGTGGGAGGACTCTTCAGGTGGCTGGCGTGTAGGAGACCTCTGCTTCAAGAGTGGCTGGCGTGTGGGACCTCTGCTTCAGGAGTGGCTGGCGTGTGGGAGGACCTCTTCAGGAGTGTGTGGGAGGACCTCCTTCGGAGTGGCTGCAGACCTCTGCTTCAGGAGTGGCTGGCGTGTGGGAGGACCTCTGCTTCAGGAGTGACTGGCGTGTGGGAGACTCTGCTCAGGAGTGGCTGGCGTGTGGGACGACTTCTGCTTCAGGAGTGGCTGGCATGTGGGAGGACCTCTGCTTCAGACTGGCTGGCGTGTGGGAGGACCTCTGCTTCAGGGGTGGCTGACGTGTGAGAGACCTCTGCTTCAGGAATGCCTGGCTTTAGGAGGACCTCTGCTTCAAGTGGCTGTGAGCTTTAGCCAGGGTGGCTGGCGTGTGGGGAGGACTTCTGCTTCAGGGGTGGCTGATGTGGGAGGACTTCTGCTTCAGGAGTGGCTGGCCTGTTGGAGGACTCTGCTTCAGGAGTGGGCGTGTGGGACTTCTGCTTCAAGAGTGGCTGGCGTGTGGGGGGACTTCTGCATCAGAGTTGGCGTGTGGGACTTCTTCAGAAGTGGCTGGCGTGTGGGGCTTCTGCTTCAGGAGTGGCTGGCGTGTGGGAGGACTTCTGCTTCAGGAGGGCTGGCGGGGAGGACTTTGCTTAAGAGGCTGGCGTAGGAGGACTTGCTTGGAGTGGCGGCGTGTGGGGACTTGGGTGTGGGGGGGCTGCTTCAAGAGTGGCTGGCGTGTGGAGGACTTCTGCTCAGGAGTGGCTGGCGTGTGGGAGGACTTTGCTTCAGGAGTGGCTGGCGTGTAGGAGGACTTCTGCTTCAGGAGTGGCTGGCGTAAGGAGGACTTCTTGCTTCAGGAGTGGCTGGCGTGTGGGAGGACTTCTGCTTCAGGAGGGTGTGGAGGACTCTGCTTCAAGGTGGCTTGCGTGTAGAGGACTCTTGTTTCAAGAGTGGCTGGCGTGTTGGGAGGACTTCTGCTTCAGGAGGGCTGGCGTGTAGGAGGACTTCTGCTTCAGGGTGGCTGGCGGGGAGGACTTCTGTTCAGGAGGGCTGTGTGTGAGGATCTCTGTTCAAGAGTGGCTGGCGTGAGGATTCTGCAAGAGTGGCTGGCGTGTGGGAGGACTTCTGCTTCAGGGTGGCTGGCGTGTAGGGAGGACTTCTGCTTAGAGTGGCGTGTGGAGGACTTCTGCTTCAGGAGTGGCTGGCGTGTGGGAGGACTTCTGCTTCAGGAGGGCTGGCGTGTGGGAGGACCTCTGCTTCAAGAGTGGCTGGCGTGGGAGGACTTCTGCTCAAGAGTGGCTGGCGTGTGGGAGGACTTCTGCTTCAAGTGGCCGTGGAGGACTTTGTTCAAGAGTGGCTGGCGTGTGGGAGGACTTCTGCTTCCAGGAGTGGCTGGCGTGTAGGAGGACTTCTGTTCAAGAGTGGCTGGCGTGTAGGGGAGGACATCTGCTTCAGGAATGGCTGGCGTGTAGGAGGACCTGTGGCTTCAGGAGTGGCTGGCGTGTGGGAGGACCTCAGGAGTGGCTGGCGTGTGGGAGGACCTGCTTCAAGAGTGGCTGGCGGGGAGGACCTCTGCTACAGGAGTGGCTGGCATGTGGGAGGACCTCTGCGCTCAGGGGTGGCTGGCGTGTGGAGGACCTCTGCTTCTAAGAGTGGCTGGCGTGTAGGGAGGACCTCTGCTTCAGGAGGCTGGCATGTGGGAGGACCCTGCTTCAGGAGTGGCTGGCGTGTAGGAGGACCTCTGCTTTCAGGAGTGGCTGTGTGGAGGACCGCTGCTTCAGGCGTGGCTTCCGTGTGGGAGGACCTCTGCTAAGAGTGCTGGCGTGTGGGAGACCCCTGCTCAGGGTGGCTGGGTGTGGGAGGACCTCTGCTTCAAGAGTGGCTGGCGTGTAGGAGGACCTCTGCTTCAGGGTGGCTGGCGTAGGAGGACCTCTGCTTCAGGAGGCTGGCGGTTGGGAGGACCTTGAGCCCAGGAGTGGCTAGCGTGTGGAGGACCTCTTGCTTCAGGAGGCTGGCGTGTAGGACCCTGCTTCAGGAGTGACTGGCGGTAGGAGGACCTCTGGCTCAGGAGTGGCTGGCGTGTGACGACTTCTGCTTCAGGAGTGGCTGGCATGTGGGAGGACCCTGCTTCAAGACTGGCTGGCGTAGAGGACCTCTGCTTCAGGAGGTTGACGTGGGAGGACCTCTGCTTCAGGAATGCCTGGCTTGTAGGAGGACCTCTGCTCAAGAGTGGCTGGCGTGTAGGAGGACTTCTGCTTCAGGAGGGCTGGCGTGTGGGAGGACTTGCTTCAGGAGTGGCTGGCGTGTGGGAGGATCTCTGCTTCAGGAGGGCTGGCCTGTTGGAGGACCTCTGCTTCAGGAGTGGCTGGCGTGTAGGAGGACTTCTGCTTCAAGAGTGGCTGGCGTGAGGACTTCTGCATCAGAGTGGCTGGCGTGTAGGAGGACTTCTCAAGAGTGCTGGCGTGTAGGAGGACTTCTGCTTTCAGGAGTGGCTGGCGTGGGAGGACTTCTGCTTCAGGAGTGGCTGGCGGGGAGGACTTCTGCTTCAAGAGTGGCTGGCGTGTAGGAGGACTTCTGCTTCAGGAGTGGCTGGCGTGTAGGAGGACTTCTGCTTAAGAGTGCCTGGCGTGTGGGAGGACTTCTGCTTCAGAGTGGCTGGCGTGTGGGAGGACTTCTGCTTCAGGAGTGGCTGGCGTGGGAGGACTTTGCTTCAAGAGTGGCTTGCGTGTGGGAGGATTCTTCTTTCAGAGTGGCTGGCGTGTAGGAGGACTTCTGCTCAGGAGTGGCTGGCGTGTAGGAGGACTTCTGATTAGGAGTGGCTGGCGTGTGGGAGGACTTCTGCTTCAAGAGCGGCTTGCGGGAGGACTTCTGTTCAAGAGTGGCTGGCGTAGGAGGACTTCTGCTTCAGGAGGCTGGCATGTAGGAGGACTTCTGAGCCTCAGGAGTGGCTGGCGGTAGGAGGACTTGCTTCAGGAGTGGCTGGCGTGTAGGAGGATCTCTGCTTCAAGAGTGGCTGGCGGGAGACTCTGCTTCAAGAGTGGCTGGCGTAGGAGGACTTCTGCTTCAGGAGTGGCTGGCGTGTAGGAGGACTTCTGCTTCCAAGAGTGGCTGGCGTGTAGGAGGACTTCTGCTCTAGGAGGGCTGGCGTGTAGGAGGACTTCTGCTTCAGGAGTGGCTGGCGTGTAGGAGGACTTCTGCTTCCAAGAGTGGCTGGCGTGTGTAGGGAGGACTCCTGCTCAAGAGTGGCTGGCGTGGGAGGACTTGCTTCAAGAGTGGCTGGCGTGTAGGAGGACTTCTGCTCAAGAGTGGCTGGCGGGGAGGACTTCTGCTTCAGGAGTGGCTGGCGTGTGGGAGGACTTCTTTCAAGAGTGGCTGGCGTGTAGGAGGACATCTGCTTCAGGTGGCTGGCGTGTAGGAGGACTTCTGCTTCAAGAGTGGCTGGCGTGTAGGAGGACTTCAGGAGTGGCTGGGTGTAGGAGGACTTCTGCTTCAAGAGTGGCTGGCGTGTAGGAGGACTTCTGCTTCAGGAGTGGCTGGCGTGTAGGAGGACTTCTGCTTCAGGAGTGGCTGGCGTAGGGAGGACTTCTGCTTCAAGAGTGGCTGCGTGTAGGAGGACTTCTCCAGGGTGGCTGGCGTGTAGGAGGACTTCTGCTTCAGAGTGGCTGGCGTGGGAGGACTTGCTTCAGGAGTGGCTGGCGTGTGGGAGGACTTCTGCTTCAAGAGTGGCTGGTGTAGGAGGACCTCCACAGGAGTGGCTGGCGTGTGGGGAGGACTTCTGCTTAAGAGTGGCTGGCGTGGGAGGACTTCTGCTTCAAGAGTGGCTGGCGTGTAGGAGGACTTCTGCCTGGCAAGAGTGGCTGGTGTGGGAGGACCTCTGCTCAGGAGTGGCTGGCGGGGAGGACTTCTGCTTCAAGAGTGGCTGGCGTGTGGGAGGACTTCTGCTTCAGGAGTGTGGCGTGTGAGGACTCTTGAGTCAGGAGGTGGCTGGCGTGGAGGACTCTGCTTCAGGAATGCCTGGCTTGTAGGAGGATCTCTGCTTCAAGAGTGGCTGGCGTGTAGGGGAGGACTTCTGCTTCAGGAGTCGGCTGGCGTGTGGGAGGACTTCTGGCCCAGGAGTCGGCTGGCGTGTAGGAGGACTTCTCTGCTTCAGGAGTGGCTGGGTAGGAGACTTCTGCTTCAGGAGTGGCTGGCGTGTGGGAGGACTTGCTTCAGGAGTGGCTGGCGTGTGGGAGGATCTCTGCTTCAGAGTGGCTGGCGGTAGGAGGACCTCTGCTTCAGGGGAGTGGCTGGCGTGTGGGAGGACCTCTGCTTCAGGAGTCGGCTGGCGTGTGGGAGGACTTCGCTCAGGAGTGGCTGGCGTGGAGGAGGACCTCTGCTTCAGAATCATAATATGTACACTATTCATGTCTGTGTTTACTCTGACGCTTTCTTCTCTACTGAGTGTTATTAAGATTTAATAAGAGGGAGGAGGAGGGAGAAGTGGGGTGATGGGAGAGGGGGTGAGGAGGGGTGAGGAGAAGAGGGGTGGGGAGGGTGATGGAAGGAGAAGGGGGAGTGGGGTAGGGGAGGAGAAGAGGGTGGGGAGAGTGGGGTGATGGGAGGAGGGTGGGAGGGGTGATGGATGGAGGGGTGGGGAGTGGGGTGATGGGAGGAAGAGGGGGGAGGTGTTGAAGGGGGATGGGAGGAGAAGAGGGTAGGGGGGGTGAGGAGGAGGTGGGTGGGGGAGGGTGAGGGAGGAGGAGGAAAAGTGGGTGATGGAAGGAGAGGAGGGTGGGGATGGAGGATGGGGAGGAGAGGGTGGGGAGGGGTGAGTGGAATTATTTTTATGTGTGCTTTCCTCCATTCTCTCTCTCTTCTCTCTTCATAGTAAGTCTCCCTGTCTTTTTTCTCTGTCTAACTCCCTCCTTTTCTGTTCTACTCTTGTTCTACTCTTTACTCACCTTCCCTCCTCTGTCTTCTTTCTTGTCTCTCTCCTCCTTTTTCTGTTCTACCTCTCCTACCTCTTTACCTCACTCCATCCTCCCTCTGTCTCTTTCTATCTCTCTCCCTCCTCTTTTCTGTTCTTCCCTCGTTCTACCTCTTTACTCTCATCCATCCCTCTCTTTCTCTGTCTCTCTCCCCTTTTCTGTTCTTCCCTGTTCTTACCTCTTTACCTCACCCATCCCTCCCTCTTTCTCTGTCTCTCTCTCTTTCTGTTCTACTCCTCGTTCTACCTCTTTACTCTCACTCCATCCCTCCTCTTTCTCTGTCTCTCTCCCTCTTTTCTGTTCTACCCTCGTTCTTACCTCTTTACTCTCCTCCATCCCTCCCTCTTTTCTGTCTCTTCCCTCCTCTTTCTGTTCTACCCTCGTTCTACTCTTTACTCTCACCCATCCCTCCCTCTGTCTCTTTTCTTGTCTCTCCTCCTCTTTTTCTTGTTCTACCCTCGTTCTACCTCTTTACTCTCACTCATCCCTCCCTCTTTCTCTGTCTCTCTCCCTCTTTTCTGTTCTTCCCTCGTTCTTACTCTTTACTCTCACTCCATCCCTTCCCTCTTCTCTGTCTCTCTCCTCTTTCTGTTCTTCCTCGTTCTACTCTTTTATTTCACTCCATCCCTCCTCTTTCTCTGTCTCTCTCCCCTTTCTATTCTACCCTCGTTCTTACCTCTTTACTCTCACTCCATCCCTCCCTCTGTCTCTTTCTCTGTCTCTCTCCCTCCTCTTTTCTGTTCTACCCTCGTTCTTACCTCCTTTACTCACTCCATCCCTCCTCTCTGTCTCTTTCTCTGTCTCTCTCCCCCCTTTTCTGTTCTTCCTCGTTCTAACCTCTTATTCTCACTCCATCCTCCCTCTTTTCTGTCTCTCTCCTCTTTTCTGTTCTTCCTCGTTCTACTCTCTTTACTCTACCTCAACCCTTCCTTTCTCTGTCTCTCTCTCCTCTTTTCTGTTCTACCCTCGTTCTACCTCTTTTGCTCCTCACCCATCCCTCCCCTTTCTCTGTCTCTCCTCTTTCTGTTTCTATCTCGTTCTTACCTCTTTACTCTCCTCCCATCCCTCCCTCTGTCTCTTCTGTCTCTCTCCTCTTTTCTGTTTCTACCTCGTTCTTACTCTTTACTCCACCCATCCCTCCCTCTTTCTCTGTCTTCTCCCTCTTTCTGTTCTTCCCTCGTTCTTACCTCTTTTACTCTCCTCACTCCATCCCTTCCTCTTTCTCTGTCTCTCTCCCTCCTTTTCTGTTCTTCCCTGTTCTTACCTCTTTACTCACTCCATCCCTCCCTCTTTCTCTGTCTCTCTCTCCTCTTTCTGTTCTCACCGTTCTTACCTCTCTCTTTACTTCCTACTCCATCCCTCCCTCTTTCTCTGTCTCTCTCCTTTTCTGTTCTTTCCCTCGTTCTTACCTCTTTTCTCTCACTCCATCCCTCCTCTTCTGTCTCTCTCCTCTTTTTGTTCTAACTCTGTTCTTACCTCTTTTACTTTCACTCCATCCCTCCCTCTTTTCTCTCTGTCTCTCTCTCTTTTCTGTTCTTCCCTCGTTCTTACCTCTTTACTCTCACTCCATCCCTCCCTCTTTCTCTGTCTCTCTCCCTCTTTTCTTGTTCTAATTTCGTTCTACCTTCTTTACCTCACCCATCCCTCCCTCTTTCTCTGTCTCTCTCCCTCCTCTTTTCTGTTCTTCCCTCGTTCTTACTCTCTTTTCTCTCATTCATCCCTCCTCTTTCTCTCTGTCTCTCTCTCTTTCTGTTCTATCCTGTTCTTACTTTCTTACTCTCACTCCATCCCTCCTCTTTCTCTGCTCTCTCTCCTCTTTTCTGTTCTAATTTCTCCTCTATCTTCTTTTACTCTCACTCCATCCCTCCCTCTTTCTCTGTCTCTCTCCTCCTCTTTTCTGTTCTACCTCTCGTTCTTACCTCTTTTACTCTCATCCATCCCTCCTCTTTCTCTGTCTCTCTCCCTCTTTCTGTTCTACCCTCGTTCTTACCTCTTTACTCTCACTCCATCCCTCCTCTTTCTCTGTCTCTCTCCCTCTTTTCTGTTCTTCCCTGTTCTTACCTCTTACTCTCCCATCCCTCCCCTTTCTCTGTCTCTCTCCCTCCTTTTCTGTTCTTCCCTCGTTCTTACCTCTTTACTCTCACTCCATCCTCCTCTTCTGTCTCTCCCTCTTTTCTGTTCCCACCTCACCTACCTCTTTACTCTCACTCCATCCTCCCTCTTTCTCTGTCTCTCTCTCTCTCTCCTTTTCTGTTCTACCTCATTCTACCTCTTACTCTCACTCCATCCTCCCTCTTTCTCTGTCTCTCTCCCCTCTTTTCTGTTCTTCCCTGTTCTTACCTCTTTTACTCTCACTCCATCCTCCTTTCTCTGTCTTCTCCTCCTCTTTTCTGTTCTACCTCGTTCTTACCTCTTTACTCTCACTTCCATCCCTCCCTCTTTCTCTCTTGTCTCTCTCCCCCTTTTTTGGTTCTACCCTTGTTTCACTCTCTTTACTCTCACTCCATCCCTCCCTCTTTTCTGTCTCTCTCCCCCCTTTTCTGTTCTTCCCCTGTTCTTACCTCTTACCCCACCCATCCCTCCCTCTTTCTCTGTCTCTCTCTCCTCTTTTCTGTTCTATTCGTTCTTACCTCTTACTCTCACTCCATCCTCCCTCTTTCTCTGTCTCTCTCCCTCTTTCTGTTCTTCCCTCGTTCTTACTCTCTTACTCTCACCCATCCCTCCTCTCTGTCTCTTTCTCTGTCTCTCTCCCTCCTCTTTTCTGTTCTTCCCTGTTCTTACCTCTTACTCTCACTCCATCCTCCCTCTTTCTCTGTCTCTCCCTCCTCTCTTTTCTGTTCTTCCTCGTTCTTACCTCTTACTCTCACTCCATCCCTCCCTCTTCTCTGTCCTCCCCCCTTTTTTCTGTTCCCACTCTGTTCTACTCTTTTTGTTTCCTCACTCCATCCCTTCCTCTTTCTCTGTCTCTCTCTCTCCCTCTTTTCTGTTCTACCCTCGTTCTTACTCTCTTTACTCTCACTCCATCCCTCCCTCTTTCTCTGTCTCTCTCCCTCCTCTTTTCTGTTCTTCCCTCGTTCTTACCTCTTTACTCTCACCCATCCCTTCCTCTTTCTCTGTCTCTCTCTCTCCTCTTTTCTGTTCTACCCTCGTTCTTACCTCTTTTTCTCCTCCATCCCTCCTCTTCTCTGTCTCTCTCTCCTCTTTTCTCTTCTTCTTTGTTCTACCTCTTACCTACTCATCTCCCTTTTTCTCTGTTCTCTCTTTCTGTTCTTCCTCGTTCTTACCTCACTCCCTCACTCCATCCCTCCCTCTTTCTCTCTCTCTCTCCCCTCTTTCTGTTCTAATTCTCGTTCTTACCTCTTACCTCACTCCATCCCTCCCTCTTTCTCTGTCTCTCTCCCCTTTTCTGTCTCTTCCCTCGTTCTTACCTCTTACTCTCACTCCATCCCTCCTTTCTGTCTCTCTCCCTCTTTTCTGTTCCCACCCTCGTTCTTACCTCTTTACTCACTCCATCCCTCCTCTTTTCTCTGTCTCTCTCCCTCTTTTCTGTTCTACCCTCGTTCTACTTCTTCCTCTCCATCCTCCCTCTTTCTTCTGTCTCTCTCCCTCCTCTTCTTGTTCTACCTGTTTTCCTTTTACTCTCACTCCATCCTCCCTCTTTCTCTGTCTCTCTCTCCTCTTTTCTGTTCTTCCTCGTTCTTACCTCTTTACTCTCTCCATCCTCCCTCTTTCTTCTGGTCTCTCTCCCCTCTTTTTCTGTTCTTCCCTCGTTCTTACTCTTTCTCCTCCATCCCTCCCTTTTCTCTGTCTCTCTCTTTTTCTGTTCTTCCCTGTTCTACCTCTTACTCTCACCCATCCTTCCCTCTGTCTCTCTTTCTCTGTCTCTCTCTCCTCCTCTTTTTTTCTGTTCTACCCTCGTTCTTCCTCTTTACTCTCACTCCATCCCTCCTCTGTCTCTTTCTCTGTCTCTCTCCTCCTCTTTTTTCTACCCTCGTTCTACCTCTTTACTTCCTCATCCATCCTTCCTCTGTCTCTTTCTTCGCCCCCTCTCCTCTTTTCTGTTCTACCTCGTTCTTACCTCTTTATTTCCTCACTCCATCCCTCCCTCTGTCTTTCTGTCTCTCTCCCTCCTCTTTTCTGTTCCTCCCTCGTTCTTACCTCTTTACTCTCACTCCATCCCTCCCTCTTTCTCTGTCTCTTCCTCCTCTTTCTGTTCTTCCCCTCGTTCTTACCTCTCTTTTACTCCATCCCTCCCTCTTCTTTCTCTGTCTCTCTCCTCTTTCTTCTTTACCTCTTACTCACTCCATCCTCCTTTTCTCTGTCTCTCTCCCTCTTTTCTGTTCTTCCCTCGTTCTTTCTTTATTTTACTCCATCCTCCCCCCATCTCATTTTCACTTCCCGTACTCCTCCTTGAACACCT